AAATGGATACATAAATAAATGAGAGTAGCCCAGCTTCACTTCTCCGCTGGTCCTCAGTTGTAGGGATTGACATGAGGTCGATAAGGCAGCCAAGGAGGGAGAGAACAGTATAACGGAGATAGAATGAACGGTAAATCGGCCATGTTGCATTTAGTTTCTTTCCTGTGCTAAGCCTTTTCATTTGTCCAATGGTAAACACTTGATGAGATCTTATTTTTCTAATTTTTGACATTTGGATAAAAAAAAGAAACAATCAGTTATATTGTGTGATCCATTTGTGCTTTCAAAAAGCACACTCTTACTATCTTTGGTAGACTTCAGAATATCGTGAGGTGCTGATGAATGGTAAACATTGTGTCTTTCACATGTGGAACCGAGGAACGTTCAAGCAAACACCAAAACTGGGACTTAGCTGCTGCAGACCATCTTTTTCGTTAATCCCTTGTTTTGACAGGAAGTTAATAGACAAAACACTGCTCTATGTGGGAAACAATGAACGCCCTGCTGCCGCAGCCAACGCCCAATCAACAACCAAATTGCTGTGACTCTTGTTGCCATGGTGAATGCGTGTAAACAAGACCAAAAACTCTTGAAGCGGAAAGCTCCTCTAGAAAGCTATAAAACCTCAGAGCTCACTAATTAGTGCTTTAGGGGGAGAGCCATTTCCAGTAATTTCACACTGTCCGTGACCCTTTACTGGCATAAGGCAATGACACAGTAGTTCAATAAAGCCAGAGGACAAAATGTCAAATGCAATGGACATACAGAAGTCACGGTGTCGTTCACTCGCTGTGGTTATTGCACAGATTGAATCCAGCATCACCATTAACAAATAAGTGCCAGTGCCGCTACATGAAAAATAGTCCCTCTTTCACACCGAGAATAACAGCGATAGTCACTAATTATTATTATATATTATATTAGAGTCTTCTGAGTGTTCCATTCAAAGCTCAAATGCTGCTTCAGTGTTTCAGTGAAGTAAAAAAAACAGTGAAGCTGACAGCAGTTAAAGACTATGACGAGGTCATAATTACACCCACAGTTACCTTAACTATGACCTTGTCGCTGAAGACAAATGTCTCGGGGCAAAACTATTAACATGTTATGTTAAATCCAATACGTTGCTTGTTTCAAAAAGCTTTTCCCTTTGAGTGGATGGACAAGAGACAAAATGGCTTTCATAAAGACACAGTGATTAGCCTCTGACAATTGAACAGCTTGGAATTTTTATGTTTTTGTCTATAGCCCTTTTCCACTGGTCAAAAAACCCCACTAACATCTGGCTTTTGTCTGCAGTGTAAATGGATAGAATGGGGGACTCTGAGTAAACTTGCATACACCCACTAATTGTGGTGTAAAAGAGGTAAATGGTAAAGGTCTGCTAACATTAATACTACATGGAGTAAAACATTTCCCTATTTTGTAGATGGGGAAGATCTAGATAAATGTACATGTGTGTGATAAGTTACAAAAGCCTCGTGCTTTTTTGGTGCAGGTTAATAATGGGTATGGTGGATTTTTTTTTCTCCACATGGTTGCCCAGGGCTGAAAGGCAGACGTCGGCGGGCGTAACCTATAAAATCCCCAGTGGTTGTCGGGTAATTACCCAGACTCTCCGTCAGCACTTTTTGATCAAAGCCTGGTTATCTACAGCCAACTGAAACAAACACTAAGGTGGGCTTTGTTTTGCCCTTGAGTAAGACACTAAAATCCAGTTACCAAGATGAAATCCATACATCAGTGTTAATGAATCCAAGTCACAAACATGAATCCTATTCACAAAACAATCTGACGTACTGGCACTGTGATAATAGAACTACATTTTATTTTCACATTTCAGTTCCTGTGTTTCATGGGAGCCACTTTAGACTTTGGTTTTGATACCTCAGGGAGCCTGAGGTATTGATACCCTGTAGTGATAATGATTACTGGGTCTGTAGCCCGGCTACACTTCAGTTTCGAGCCCAGATGCTCTGTGCTACTTTAGGACAAATGCAGATTTATGGGTGGCTGCAGCTCAAGAGGTAGAGAGGGTTGTCCACTAACTGAGGTCGGTGGTTCAATCTCCAGCACCTTCAGTCTGAATTGCGAAGTGCAAGATACCTAGATCCAAATTGCCCTGATGGAATGAATAAATGCAACTTAAACTATAAAGCTCTTTGAGTGGTAAATACAGTCCATTTACCATTTAAGTACAACCAAGAAACTCTATTACTGTCTGTAACAGTGACGACTATTAACATTAATCTAGTTTAAAAGGTTGGAGATTAAGTCCTAATGAGAGCTATGTAAATAACACCTGTTGACAATGACCAATAAATTCCCTACGTAAACCACAGCTGGTCATCTACTCTTCAATGTTACAGACATACACGTAGATTCTCTATGCACTGAAAACCTGTAGGAGAGCAGAAACTACACCATCCAAAGTTAATTTTCTGCATGAGGCTTTATGATAGGAGAAAAAATGTGGATAAATAATTGAAACATGCTGTTTACACGAGCCCATACAGATTAAAGTGCAGTTAACAGTGGGCAGGTTGCAGCAACCAAGTGGGTGTGACGCGGTGCTGCCGCCAGCCCTGATGATGTGTGTATGAAGCAGCACAGACACTCACTCACACGTATACAGAGGCCCTGTATTTTTCACATCCATCGGCCAAATCCAATTTGTTAAGACCCTTCTACGACTCACTTACGAAGCTGTGGTCAATGGAAATAAGATTTCCGTGATTGGACATCCCATTATCCCGGTCGTCCAGACCTGCACTAAAGGATAAAACAAGGCTGAGACGGATGCCCACGACAGACCGCAGCAGCGGCTCCAGCGAGTCCGCCGCCTTTCAAAGGGTAAAAGCTTGACATATTAGTCATAAGTGTTCTTTAAATTCATTATCATCTTAACACGCCAGCGGCACAAGTGTCAGGGGGAGGGGAAGCCCTCTCAAATGATGTTAGTGTATCCATTTTAAGCTTCACAAGTTGCTGTGCTGTCCGCCGTGTCACACGCAAGTCTCAAGAGATGAAAAACATTCTCCTCTGTAATGAGGTTGCACAAGCTGCTTATCCTGCAGCTGGGGAGATTGTGAGGTTAATCAATGAACAGCATCTGCATTATATCTCTTCATAGCCTGTTTGATTTCTGAATCATACAAATATGTTTACATACATGGAGAGTAATCACAGATCATCACAGATCCCAAGTTCCAAAAATGTCCTAATTTCTGTCTTTGATAAGAGGGCAAATTAATATATCAGATCCCATTAAGACTTAGTTCAAATTCTTGAGAAAGCACAGGGATTTAGTCAATGAGAGGCAGAGCACATTTGATTTATCTTAATGAGGGGACCTCACTGTTTGCATGATAATGATGAAGAAGTTGATTCACTTGAATCCTCACAGACTTTTTGTACATGCAGTCCACATATTCATGTCAAGCCCATATAATTCCTCCATCCATTAATTTTTATTCTGACAATAAGTTAAACAAACAATATGTAACTTAAGGCCGAGGTGGGCTTCTCAATTAAAACACCAACAAAAGGCCTAGTTTGATGATGCCATGAAGCAGTGTGGGATCATGGGAGTTGTTGTCTTCACCCCATTCTAATCTAAATCTAATCTAAATGACACAACTCAAGCGCAAGTCATGTTCATGGATGAGGCAACAAATAACAGTATTATTCAAGTTATGCATCAAACAGCAATGAATAATCAAGATCAATTACGAGTGTGTTTTTAATTTGTCATATGTTGTTTGCCACTTAAGGTATACCACGGGTAAAGCTGGTGATTTAAGAGGCAACCACAAATATACTTCCTGTTTTCTCGAATAAAATTGTTGTTATAGACATTTAAATGAAGTGTTACACATTATATCTTTATATTAATATAATAATTTGCACTAAAATGTGATGTTTTATTTTAAGAAAAAATAAATTGATAAATAATCAAGAATTAAAAACTTTCTGAAAACATTTAAAGTGTTCCAAATAAACAGACGCCAATTGTGGTTTTATTATTGTAGTCTAAAATAACAATGGCAATATTGAAACAAAATATTCCTGTTAGGTAAATTACTTTCTCATAAATTCATGAAAATAAAAAGTGTGAAGGATGAGGAATCAGAGAACGTTCAAAGATGCATATTAATCTGACTTTTTAATGTTGCTGAAGTGGTTTTGAAGAGAATTTGCAACATCTTATCATTAATCTAAGTCTGTGGCTCTCAGTCTGTTTGTATTTTCACTTCTCTCGCACCCTCAGCTCTAATATCTTTAACTGTTAATCGAGCACCTAGAACAGATGCTAATCAATATGGACATAGATTCAAAAGCAATAACAGCTTATACGTTATTTTCATACTAAAGTCTCTGCTCAAACCGTGCTCAGAAAGCTCAGGACGAAGCACACTTGTGACTCAGGTGACTTGTCTTTCAAAAATCATGTTGAGACACATAGACTGAGACTTGGCAGCGGCAACAAAACCCAGACCAACAAACCAATTAACACTTTGAAAGCTCAGCACACATCCTTCCATCAGATATCCCAAAGCAAAAGCCATAAGTTTATTTTTGAAACACGGTTCTTTGTATGCTCATCTCAAAATGAGCCTTTAACACCTCAAAATTATCCTAAAATCACTGTTAATGAAAATGCCACACATGCTCCTAAGGTGCCATTATAAAAAAATGAGTGTGTATCCGTCTGCTTTCAGAAAGGAACTGAACAGAAGTAAACAAAACAGTGGACTTGTGATTGTTAATTATTTTTAACAGAAGCAACACCTCAGAGGCTACAGCAGGAGATCTTCCTCTTGTGGAGACTTCACTACACAGTGTAAGCATCTTCACATTGAAAGCCCTTGTAATTATGAAAATATGCATCAATGTTAACTTAAAACACAAAAAAAAGGAAAGGAAATCTAACTGCTGTCTGGTAAAAGCATGATTTGGGATCCAGTGCAAACCACGGCCACAGAAGTCATAAAGCAGGAGCCTCACCTCTTTCTCATAATACTGTAATGCAACTCGTCCTCTTGCTTGATGTGGGCATGATCCCCGCTGGCCCGCTCGCTGCCTTCACTGTCGTCACTGCTAAAGATGGAGGCCAGCTCCTTCTTGGGCACCCGGTTGGGGGGAAGGGGGATGGTGCGTTTCTCAGCCAAGCGCCCACGGTTCTGCACAACATGGCACAAAGGGAAAAAAAAGATGTCTTAGCAATTCATTATTCCTGGACCTTAAAGTACAAAAACATAAACAGCACTGTCTCCAGACACCTTGGGTGGTTTTGCGCACGTTTTTTAAGTTGTGACTTGACTTGACTCAAAGGTATCTTCGTTTAATTGAGCTGTATTGATTGACTATTTATGTGTTGCTTATTAAACGCCTCCTTATACATACATACAGAATCAATATTTCCAAATCAGGAGTACTCACACCTGAGGAGATACTCCTGCATTTACCAGGGGGTTTGTTGAAAGATAGGAATGTAAACTCAATTACTTTTCAAAGGAGAGAAATTCAGCTGTAGCACATGAGCACCATGTGTAAAGGTTAAAGAGGCATGTAAACTAGTCAGCGTGCAAGCAGAGATGTCTAACAACTCAGCTTAAGGTAACAGATAAATGATTGAAATAGGGTTAAAAGCAATAGGTGGCTACAAGGTGTGAGAAAAATNAACCTGGACCGAGATTCTTCCAACTGTGTCTGGGAGATGATAGCTCATCTCTAGAGATGCGTTCTCAATTACTTTTTTTGGTTTAAAAACTAGAGGTAGAGATGTTCTGATACCAGCATTGGAAATTTCTCTGATTCTGCAGATAATGCAGGGTCGGGCATCTGCGAGTACCATACTCTTTGTACTGATCTGATACCACGTTTTTAGTTTTAGTTTCCTCCGGATAAATCTGATATTTTGTTTTCCTGGAAATCACTTCTTTGCTCAAAAACTGCAGATTGACTGAATTACCACTGGCAAGCATTCATTTTACAGTGGTGACGAAGAAGTGATTTTGGTAGCGTTGGCCAGAGCTAGCTAAAATGTCAGCAATTTGGCAATATTTATAAGTCCAGCATTAACAGTTTAACCTGAGCCAGATCATACAACGATAGGAATCATCACTTCCATACAGGATTAGTAGCATACAGGTGTTTTTTAAATGCCCTGGTGTTGGATCTGTAGTTTGTACCGGCCAATACATTTTGTGCTTATTTGCTTGAAAAGTGCTATAGATACAGAATTATTAGTAAAGTCGAGGTCGGAATCAGCATCAGGAAGGGAAAAATATATTGAAACATTTCTGTCACTGAAGAGGTAGTAGATCCTCAGAGAGGATTGTGGAAGTACATCAGACACAGATGGTTGGGAACCACTGCAGTCATAATCATTCAACAAAATAAAGTGTTTAAAAAATATTCTCATCAAAAGTAAAACTAATTTACAAGATAAAAAAGGTTATCAGCCATAATAATAACAGGACTGTAGCTGTAGCACTCATCAACCAAACTGAAGCAAAACAACTTAATCTCTAAAACGTGTTACTGTTGTACACACTAAGTCAGCTGTAGCACTTTACTCACTGAATAAATTACATAAAAAATCCTCTAATACTTAAGTACTTCTGCAGTAATGAAGCAACTTTCTTCCCCACAAGCTGTTTGAAAAAAGTCACACCAAACTTTTTAACCTAAAACCAAACTAAATGGGGCAGACATTTTTTTTCCTTTTTCCAAAGCTGTCAGGAATGAGGAGAGAGAAGAAGGGATAAAGAGGAGAGTGTTGCCCTCGGGTCATTAGGAAGTGAAGCGGGGTGACCTTTAATGTGACCTGAAGAGGTCACTGCAGATTAACATGGACCTCTCACAGAGATGGGACAGGGACGAAAGAGATGGGGGGAGTAGGGAATTATAGAAGAGCAAAGGAACGACAGGCAAAAAGTTAGCAGGGTGGACGTGGGAAGGGCAGATGTAGGTTCATGCAGGAGAGAGAAGGTGAGAGAAAATACAGAAAAGAAAGAGAATGTGATGACTCAAAGCTCCACAGATGTAAGGTCTGTCCAGTGTGGGAGAGAGGACTTGGATTTGAAACAATATTCCCCCTCCTCTTTCTCTATCTCTTCCTCTCGTCTGTGCCTACATCACTGCTCTTACTCCAGGACGCCTTCGAGCCCTCTAGCTATCCCTTCCACCACACGCAACCCTGCTCTCCACCACTCCTCCCCACTCCCTCCTTCCCTCGCTCCTTCCATCCCAGGAGGTGCAGCAGCATGAGTGGCAGACGGGGGCAGGAGGAGGGATTTGGGGGCTCCTAGCCAAGAGGCAAACAGGTGCAGCCCCTGGAGTCTCTCAAATGGCAGACATTAAAAAGAGTTGGAGTTGGGGGGGTGGGGGGACAGAGAAAGATGAAAACATCCCCCAGGATGAGCAGGACGCATAGTTCTGCACATTTCTCCCCTTTTCTCTTTTTTTTCTCGGAGCCGTGCCAGAAAAGAGGTTTTTCCCTCCTTTCTTCTTTCCTGTCAGAGGTTTCTACAAGCTCTGCTCTGGCGTTTGAGGACAGTGGATCACTTACTGATACTCCTGCTACTTCCACACGAGGCCTCCGCGTACAGGAAGGAAGTGCTTGAGCTCCAACAGGGTGTAAGGGGGGGCGGGGGGTGAACAACACTTCAGAACAACAGAGCGACATGCTTATACGGATGCAGCCACGGTTGCATCTGTCAGACACACATCTGTTAGATACAAATCCTCCGCCTCAAGTTTCTTTCGTGCTCTATCCGCGTTGTCAGGGAAAAACACACAAGCACACACGCGCTACACTATCACACACATCGTACGCACACTCACTCACACACACACCTGTTCCTGTTCCCTAGAATTCCCCTCCAAAGCTGGGGATTTTACTTGGAGCATGCCAGCAATATAATGTATACAAGAATAGTTTGTCTAAGAGCAGTCGTGACTGTAGCTGTGTGTGTGTGTGTGTGTGTGTGTGTGTGTGTGTGTGTGTAGCTGTGTGTTTGTGTGTGAGCGTGTAGACAACCACCCACATGGCCGTGACATACCCAGGCTGACAGCCCCCCTCCCCTCCTGCTCCCCCCGTCCTCCCGGAAAGCCCCGATCCTTTCTTTAGTGGCACTGACGCAGAACTGGGGGTGAGCTCCCACTGCTTCCGGCAACACTTCCGCAGCACGGGGGAGGGCTCTCTGAAATAAAACACGAAGCAAAACACACCCCTGGCGGCCCACGTAGGGGCGCTGAAAGGAAGGGCGCCTGAACGCCCAAGCTTGCGTATGTGCACGCACAAACACACACAAGCCTCTGCGCAGAGCTGAGGCAACCTTACTGTGTGTGGTCAACCTCCTTTCAGCCATGGAAAAAAGTATCTCATAAAAGTCCCACTAAAAGCACCTCTATGAATATTGCCTCCCACGTTTTCTGTCTGACAGTCAGGCGGCCAAGAAATATATCTGGGCTTCACATTTACAAACACACACACACACAAGAAAAAAAGACACGCGCACATGCCTTGGGACACACAATTATAATGGTCTTATCAGGACGTGACAAACACATACAGAAACACTTCACCTAGACAGTCAAATGCTTTCTCCATATTCATGTAATACATGAAGTCTCCAATAGATACAACATGAGATGAACTCTGGAAATAGAATTTAAACTGAAAATGCAGAAAGATTGATACTGATTGATTACATACTGACTGCCAAGTTTGACAACAGTCTATAGTTACATCACATATTATAGGTCAAACAGAATGAGATGTAAACACCCCTCATTGTCTATATTCCAATATACAAGTGTGCCTTAAACTAGTTTATGCTGTGTTTGTTATAGGGCAGGGGAATATGGCCACAATTTTATCAAAATAAAAATTTCATCTGTCAGTGGATATCGATAATTATCACAATAAATGACAAATAATTATTCTTTTAAATTTAAATACTGATTTCTGCTCCTGAGTTAAGGTTTTGGTTTGAAACTCTTTTATGAGCAGATAATGACAGACACTTGATAAACAGCAAAACATTTTACAAATCAGTTGTGTTACACCTCCTCACTGTGTTTGCACCTTAGCATCATCAAGTATTTACGGCTTGTATTCAACGATATAGGCCGAACTTGAGGGTATGCTGAGGCTAATGGTAAATCTGACTGGCTACTGGCTTGTATGGCAGTACTATGAAAGCCATGTGGCCCGCTCAGTAGATCAGACATCATAACCTCAATGCCTTTTTAAACTAAACGCTGTCCCATTGTAGAACATATAGGACAAGATGGAGAATATCCCTTGTAGGTTTTACCACACTCATCAATGCCTACCAACAGTTGATGTTATTGGATGTTAGTGACCAACAGCAGATGTTAGGGACATTTCTTCAGTTGGGCATATATTTTACTGTAGTGATTTTCATTTTAATACAGATCTAATCAGTCACAGTTGTTCAGGCAGATGGGTCGACATGATACTTGCAAAAGTACTGTAAAATTATTTTGGCTCTGAAAACCATTTTTACATCATAACTTCAGAGTATTACCTCCACCAATAGGCTTATGTTTCAACCTCTGTCCTTTTGTTTATTGGCTGGTTTGTATGTTATTTAGCATTAAACAAACACTACTGGGTGGATTACCACAAGAGTTGGTAAAAGGATGTGGTATGGGTCAGGGGAGAACCCATTACATTTTGTTGCAGATCTGGATCAGGGGACGGATCCAGAATTTTTCCCCCCACTTTCTTTAACATAGCAAGACTGGGTATTTTTCAACATTTTCATGGATCTTGATGTAAAAATATCAAAATGTTTGCATTTAGTGTGGATTGATTGGATTTAAGGAGATTGTTGGGCCTTGGCAGAGGTATGTGCTTTACTGAGTGCCACTCTAGTTAAATATATTCCTCAAATTCATATAAAGCCAACCTAAAATAACAACTGTTACAATTGTTCCTTATCTTAAGCTGTAGTTGTTGGGGTGACAGTATATTTTGTTGTAATCAAGAATAATGACAATGATGTTGAAGAGATTAGATACGAATGTGCAAAGTTTAGCTTTAGCCCTAAGACTTCAGTGGAATTCAGAGCAAGGGGTTGAGATTTACCAGAGTGCAGAATACAAAGTATTCTTATGGGCTCGCTAAATTTATAGAAAACAATCT